AATAAATATATTAAGATAAAATTAATATTAAAATAAAGCTTTTAATTTTAATTATAAGTTAATATAAAGTTTATATTAATATAATATTTATAATAAAAGTTATTACCCTTTAAATATGTTAAGAAAAGTTAATAAAGTATGTAATAATTTAATTAAAATAAGCTAATTAAAACTTTCGCAATAAGTACGGTAAATATGGTAATCCCTCCCCTTCCTTAAATCTTATCTTTTAATATATATGATATCCCTCTACCTTTATAACCCTTTTATTTATATAATACCTCTTTTTAAAGCTATTAAAATTTAACCTTATATAAGTTTACATATAAAAGCTGCATTAAAATGTAATTAACATTAATATAAAGCTTTTAATTTTAAATATAAATTAATATAAAATATATATTAATGTAATATTTATAATAAAAGTTATTATGCTTTTAATACGTTAAAAGAAAAAAAAAGATATAATATAACCCTTTTGTTTATATAATACCTCACTTTATAACTACCATTTATTATTAAGATTTAACCTTATATAAATTAATAAGGAAAAGCTACATTAAAATAAAATTAATATAAAAATAAAGTTTTAAATTTTAACTTTAAATTAATATAAATTACATATTAATATAATATTTATAGTAAAAGTTATTACCTTTTAAATATGTTAAAAAAAGAAAAAAAGTTTAACGGTAATTATAACTTTAAACATAACATATAACACCTTTTTATTCCTCTTTATAACTATTAAAATTTAATCTTATATAAGTTTATATTTAAAAGCTACATTAATATACAATTAATATTAATATAAAACTTTTAATTTTAGCTATAAATTATTTTAAAATATATATTAATATAATATTTATAACAAAAATTATTACTTTTTAAATATATTAAGAAAAGTTAATACATATAATACCCTTTTTATATATAACGCCCTTTATATATATAACACTTATTTATTTTATAACTATTAAAATTTAACCTTTTATAATTTTACATTTAAACGTTATATTAATATAAGATTAATATTAAAATAAAGCTTTTAATTTTAGTTATAATTTAATTTAAAATATATAATAATATAATATTTATATTAAAAGCTATTACCTTTTAAATACGTTAAAAAAAGTTAATAAAATATAACGATATAATAAAAGATATAACAGGTATAATAACCGCCCCCCCCCCCCCTTTAAAATATACATAACACCTTTCCACCTTTTTTTATAACCATTAAAATTTAACCTTTTATAAGTTAATATATAATAAATATATTAAAATAAGATTAATATTAAAATAAAGCTTTTAATTTTAACTATAAATTAATATAAAGTTTATATTAATATAATATCTATAATAAGAGTTATTACCTTTTAAATATGTCGAAAAAAGTTAATAAAGGTAAGGTTATGGCTTTTCCTTTACAAGTTACGAGAGATTAACCAATTAAAAGGCCTACATTTAAAGACTAATTAAAGCGCTTAAAATAAAGCATCGTTTAATTTCGCTCCCTTATTTTAACTTAAGTATAAATCTTTAAATAAACTTAAAGCATTACTTTATTTATTAACTTTTCATTAAATTTATGTTTATTTAATTTAATAAATATATAAAATTAATCGTATTAAAAAAATAAAAAAGTTAGTAATTAATTTAAATATAATTTAATGTTACGTAACGATTTTTAATAACTTTTTAATAAAGCTTTTTAATAAAGCTTTTATTAAAACTTTTAATAATGTTTTATACTTATTTAAATAATTAAACGCTTAATATTTTAACACTTATAACGTATTTACGTTGTTTTTAAATTAATATTAAAAAAAAAAGTTTTATATGTTATTTATTTTATTTAAAGATATATTTATAAGGTTTATTCGATATATAATAGTTAAATTATAAATAAATATAAAAAGCGTGTTTTAAAGATTTTTAACGTGTTTAACGATGCTTTTAACTTTTTTCGATTAAAAAATAATTAAATTAACGTTTATTAATTAATTAAAAAAATGAAAAGTTTTATATGTTATTTATTTATTTACGAGATATTTTTTTTAAGTTATTTAATACGTAAATTATTAAATTATAAAGCTATACGTATTAAATAAAAAAATATATATTAAATTTAAGCCTTAATGTTTTTAATTAATTAAATTTATAAAAATGCCTTAAATTATTTTTTAAAAAAATTATACTTATAAGTTTATAAATACATTAATATAAGCCTTTTAATTATAATTAATATAAGCGTAACTTATAACTTAAATAAATAATTTAAATTAATTAAAATAATTAAAACATAACCTTTTATAATTTAAATAACTTTATTAATATTAAAGTTATTTAATTTATATAATATTAACATATAAATAATTAATTTAAATATTTATTAATTTATCTTAAAAAATTTTAAAAATTTTTTTATATTATAATTATAATAAAAATAAAAAAGTAACTTAAATAATATATCGTTTTACATATAAATTTATATATAAAAACATATAACTTTTATAAAGTTAAATATTTATAATAATATTTTATTAAAGCTTTCTCTTTTAAAGATAAATATATATATAAAAAATTAATAAAACTTTTTTTAAATTATAAATATATATTATAATAATATTTTAATATATTTAAAAAATATTATAAAGTAAAGTTATTTTTATATAAAAATTATTATAAAATAACTTACTTTTATAAAAGGTACTTAAATTTATACGTAATTTTATATATAAAACGATATATTATTAATACTTTTTTTATTATAATTATATTATAAAAAATTTTATAAATTTTTTAAAAATATAATGATAAATATATAAACCATTTATATATATCTTTTATTTATCTTATTTAAATAATTTTAATATTAATAAAATTATTTAAGTATAAAAAAAGTAAGTTTTAATGCGAATCGTATTATAAATGAGGGGGTGTTGTAAAAGGGGATTTATACGCGGTTAGCTGATTGATTTTTTCAGCTTACCATAACGATAATGATGCATTACTTAATTGTCTTGTTTTATATGGAGATGCCTTTAATATTATTATGGCTGGTAGTTATATAGTTGTACTAACGCTCACAATGTTATCTTATAAGCTCTTGCGGCGGCCTACTGTGTAGGACGACTTGCGCGCCGAAATTACTGCTGCCCTATACCTTCCACCAGTAAACATTACAAGGAATAAGTAGCAAACATATTAAACGCATGTTTTAAGATAAAATTGCTATTGTTCCCATGTTGATTACATCGTTGGCGCCTCATCATCTCAGCGCGTTGGGGATTGGATTCGAAGTGAGTCCTGCTCTCGCACATGCGGGCTGCAAAGTCATCATGGTGAACCGGAAAGAAGAGCAAGGGGTATCTGCCATCGAAACTATGAAGAAAGAAACGCCCAATGCGCAAGTGGACTGGAAAGAGTGCGACAGTATGTATTATCTAGACTTGAAACTTGGGTGACCCTTAGGAGTCCAATCTTCTCTTCTGCCCAAAGACAATCACTAACCGTGGCTACTTCAGTGGGCCATCTAAAGCAGATCCAAGAAATGTTCAGCAAGCTTCGCCAGGAGCTCGACAGCGTTGACTTCGTTGTTTGTGCTGCAGGAATCAACACGAATCAGTACGAGCTAGATGCCGACAACATTGACCGACATTTTGGTGTCAACTATCTAGGCCATTTCTACGCCATTAACCAAGACAGCTCAGAGGTCCGATACACCGGCACCGCGCATTGTCTTCGAGAGCAGCGAGGTCGTAAGTAACATCAAGAGTTCTTTGTTTCTCCCCTTTTTGGACTGTCTTGGGAGCCAGGAAGTTCTAACCATGATGACTGAGGGGCCACCGCTCCCAAAACTAAACTAACATCCGTGAACCACTTTCCTAGAAGATTGACTACTAACGCTCGTTCTGGCAGCATCGCATGGCGCCTAATGTCGTGCATTTTGGGAGCATAGAGGAGATAAATAACCCCAGTCTCGGGCCCACGGAGTTATACGGCCGAACTAAACTGGCAATGATTCTACTAGCGAAATATGGCCTCGCCGGGAAGGCCATCAAGCAGACAGGAGATCGCATATACGCTATTGCGGTGCACCCCGGAGCGGTGAGTCGATGCAATTGCCCCGCCACGGTCTTCCAGCCGCATCGTGGTACACGACCCAGAATAACGTGGCTAATGAGCGGACAGGTGAACACGGCAGTGCAGCAGCAGTGGAAAGATGCCTATCCTGGAATTACCGGCCAACTTCTTTCCTACGCAATGCTGTCAACCGGCCGCGATGTCGAACAAGGCTCTCACGGCTCCTGAAATCGAAGAGAAGGACCTAAGCGGTCACTATTTCCATGACCCGGGGGAGCCTGGTAAAGAATCTGCGCAGGCTTCGGATTCTTTATTGGGAGCTGCTCTGTGGGATCTGAGTCATCGGTTAGTGGAGATGAAGCTAGGGAATGACGCGTTGATAGACTGGAATGCCAAGTGGGAAGCGTAGGGTCGGCTTAATTGTTTTATTGGAATGGGGACTGTGATCTGAATATATATATATATATAGGTAGGTATATGAATTAAAAAAAAAAGGGGGGAAGGGGGGGGGGAAACGGTGGGTTATGTTACCGAGAGTAATGGCGTCAAGAATTATCTCTCTTGATTTCGTCTTTCATTAGGTTTAGTTACAAGCGGTTACTATTTGTACCAGCCTCGTAATGTTTAGCTAAATATCCGTTTCTGCGTACGACAGGGAAGAAACTGCATATATGTATCCTCGGGCTCGGCCGAACTACCTAATAGGTACCCATATACCATACCATGACCTTAGCCAGCTTTATTAGCGCATTCATGGGCGTCTTAATACCCTACAGCCAACCCAAATCCACAGCCAATGTGGGCGGGGTGAAGGTCCCCCCGCTCTAACACGAGAAGCCCCAATAGGAACGACAATTTACTACTATAGACAATCTTAGACAGCCCGATCAACATGGTCAAATTGCACTATTGGCACTGTGGCGGAGTGGTCTAACGCGTGTGACTCGAACGGCTATGAATAGAACAGTCTATACCATAGTTCGTGTCTATCACATCTCTTCGGAGGCGCCCGTTCGAATCGGGCCAGTGTCGCAACACCCCAAGTATTATTTTTTGTTGTTTTCACGAATATCAAAGTCGACAATTTATCCCTCTTTCATTTTAAATATCGTCAAGACGTGTATTACTCCTGACTACAATGAAGTGTTTTCAGTTCATTTTCCAGGCATTGAATGAGAGAGAAACATGCCAACGACTTTCAAAATTGTAACCCTAAACCATCTCGCCTAAATAACAAGAGACGACCAAAATCAGGTTATCCTTGCCCGTTTACGGATCCGCCCTTGACCATCATTAAATGGTGCGTTTATGACGGCGTCATTTCTGTTAGGATCAACAGGATCCAAGTCTCTTAGCGCTTGCATTTTCCAATAGACCCATCGGAAGCTACAGAAAATTGTTAGTCAAAACGAGTCTATAGATAAATAACAGACATGAGGTAACTTACCTGTTTCCAGCTTGGACCAGTCTATCCACAACCCGCTGTCTTTCTGCTGCATCGGGCCGTGGATCTACGCCCCAGAAATCTTCCTCGTTAAGGATACGTTGTCCTACGTATTCTTCCATTGCATCCCCTACCGAGACATTATCGCAGATGACTTGATTCCATGGTTGTTGCCCTGGAAGGTTTCTAATATGAGGCAAGTCCCGGCTTCCCAACAGTATGTGACAGTGCTGAAAGTCGCGAGCCTTTATTTCTCTCAAGAATCTCACATAATCATCTTGGTAAGACCTGGGGAGTTGGTCCAAGCCGTCCAGTATAAGATAGGTTTCTCCCGGTTTGGTATTACCCTGCCCCGGCCTCACAATCTCGCGATCCAGAGAGTCAATAATTGTAATAAGTACGTCTTGGAGTTCTGCATTGGTAGGTCTTCTTGCGGGATGATACTGCGTGCACGTGGTGTATAGTTGGCGGACCGCATCATGGATCTTCCTCGGTGGACATATTTGTTCGAGAACAGTGGAGGCAAATGCGCTGAAGTCGTATTGCTGTATTGGCGATAATCTCTCATGTACATCATATGTCGTACAGAAGAAGTAAGCAAGAGAGTCTCGAGACCGTGACGGCTGCGGGCTCCTTCGGCGGCATACCTGCCTTGTACTATTTATAACCGAGGAGCAGAACACCGTCTTACCCCATCCTTCTGCACGTGGGGGTGTGGTCAGTTATATTTATCTGATTAACGGTGGGTAATAGGACACACCATCTCCTGTGACCCGGAAGAGTCTATTGCCGGGTACATCCCAAAAGTTGTCGCGGCCTGTTACCGCTTGATGGAACGGAATCGCTGGCCTCCGCTCTAGGTCCAGAATATCACTGAGAAACCAAGTCTGGTCGACGGGCGAGAGCCAATTACTAATGTTTATCCGCTGGCGGTTTTCCGGAAACTCGTGGACTGTAACCTGGAGTTAGATTCGGAATAGCGCTCTTGATTTCAATAACTTACCCATGCCCTCGCGTCGTTCAGTCGGTTCCAACAGCCTCATTAACCAGGTTGCAATGTCGGCACGGGTTTCGCAAATAACGTGGTTCAGGGATAATGACGGTACCGGATTCTTGGTGTTCCTGTCGAGTAATAGATAATGACCGGCCCCGCGGCTCGCATGCTTCGCTCCGATCCAACGCAAGAGCGGCCCGACGTTCGGATCTTCCAGGCCTCCACCGCAACCGACGAACAACACGGTTCTAGTGGATAAGATATGTCTTAACGTTTCTTGTACCCCTTCGTGCCTTGTAACATCGTAATAGTGTTCTGCGGATAAGACGACATTGTCTGAGTCCCTCCAATAGCCGTGGGGGTGGAACACGGCGTCCAAAGATTTCCGTTGGAATGAGTATAGACCATCAGTATCTGAGGCACAAAGAGAGGGGAGCCCGCAGTGTTTCTCTAGTAGGTCGTCGTAGTTTGTAGTTAGCAACATCGCTCCCTTTCGTTGCAGTGCCTTCAAGCTATCGAGTAGATCCACATTCGCAACCTTGTCGTATAGGCCTTCAAATGCATGCCTCAACCAGCCTGGGTAAAGGTCGGCGCGTTTTTTCATCACGTGAGTCACCCTATTGATAGCTTCAAACAGGTCATGCTCCGTGACTCTGTAGCTCTGCAGTAGTCTTCTCGCCGCCTGAATATCCCGCTTATTATCTTCTGCAATGCCCCTAGCCTGATCTTCAACATATTGGATGGCATTCATAACCAGACCTTGCCACTACGAGAAAAAGACTTAGTAACTACTTCTTCAGCAGAGCTTCCAAGGGGTTTAAGCATGTTTGAGAAACCAACGGCCCCGGATGGGTTCAACTGCAGAGATCCGACTCCCGGGACAATGCATTGAGATATCATAGAAATACATCTTACATACTCCCAAACGTCGCCGTTCCACCTCGGGGACTGAATTCAGTGTTACACCGGATCCAACGCATATCGCCAACTTTCCAGCTTTCAGTTCAGCCCGAAGCTTTGCCACTGCCCTGTCCTGTCTCCTCCTAGCTTCCCTTTCCGCTTCGGCCCGCTCTTGCTGCGTAGCTGGGGACAACGGGGCCGGCGGTGGTGGAGGCATTGGTATTCCGACGGGGGCTGCCATTATTTAGAAATCGATATATGTTTATATACTAGGTAGGTAAAAAATTGAAGGTTCGATGTGGTGAATGCTACACTAATCTTAAGCATTGATTTCCCCTAGCTCTAGAGCGTCTTAATGCATACATTGAACAAAGGACTTTTGAAATGGGGATAGTACTCTTGACGTACGAGCCCGGATTGAGAAGTCGGAAACAATACATAAAGGAAATGCCGAAAGCGGAAGTTAGCTACCTGGTATTTCGTAAGGCGGTAGGCTCTTCATGCTGCTACCAAAAAGCTCTGCTCTTGAGGTATGAGCTCACCTTATACAAGTACTAGGGTAGATTAAACCCAAGCGAGAAGGGGGGAAATACCCCCTTTCTGGAGAAAAAGACCTAAAGAGACAGAATAGTCTGTCTCGTAGACATTCTGGCTGTAGGCTGAGGGCAAGGCACTTGCCTGTGAACAGTGACGGGTTAGTGACTTTGACCATAACGTCCAATTTGGCCGCCTTCGCTAGTATCAGAGGACTGACCTGTCGGGGTTCGGTCTGAGACAGCGTAGACAAAGGAGTCGTTTCCCATATGTAACAAGAGCTATCTAGGTAGTCAGGTTTAGAGTTCCTTGCGGAACAACAGAGCTCGTACACCCTACCTATGGTTGGCATCGTGACAGTTAGGAAGATTAATAGCTATAACACAAGTCTATAATACTTATACTCGCGGAGATTCCCAAAGCCAACTATGAGGGTTATTATTGGAACTCCATAACTGACTGAGCTGGAAGGTGGAACACTTCTAGATATAGCATCGAGGTCCTACAGATGGAACATATTCTCGAGAGATCCCCAAGTTATTGGTCCTCAAAACCATGCTCACCTTGGTCCCATGAGCCGCATAGGCTTTCAACCTTTGTCCCAAGACAGCTCAGGAAGAGAAAAAAGCCATAGCCCGGCCTAGTGTATATCCCCCATGGATTTTCATCGGATAGCGCTTAAAGTCTAGCTGTTTTCGGCGGCCGTAGTTGACTGTGCACATCCGCTGCTCCCAGGTTCCCTGCGTGGTATGACGCCTGTAGTAAACACCAAGTAGGTGGATTTACCCATGTAGGTTATTCATTAGAACGCGCTCGCACTCTAGAACATTACAATTGTACATCGAACCAAGAGGTGGGACATCTAGGCTACGGCTATAACGATTACCATAGTATTTGAATTTAATTGCCGTTAACATGAAACGAGGTTGCGCCATTTCATGAAAGCCAGTCGAGGGTCAACCTCAACGATAGGGGCAAGGCTTGGCTGGATGAGATCCTGGTATTCAAGCCGAGGGGTTAAACATGTTCTGTCAGAGACTTGCCATGGCGAACTCTGGGCGTGCTAGGGTGCACTGTGCAAAGGAGGATAACTCGAGTGATATATGCGCTATTTGACGACATTGGTCAGATGCAGGTAGCGGTGAGAGCGAATTACGACGATGGCTGATTTGGGATCCGACAACTAGTCAGATTCATGGAAATCTGCATCGTGCTGCTTGAAGCCGTCTTGGCTTACTTGCTCTTTAAGGAGAGAATCTAAGCGGTTAGGTTGGTGCTGAAGGGGATATCTTTCGATGGTAACATGACCGTGTGGTGGCGGTAATTGGGGACAGGTCTTTTTTATATTGCGACCGAAATGTTGTTGTCCATGGCATTGTTGAGAAGAATTTGAGAAGAATTGGGATGGCCCAACAGAAATATGGTCATAGTCCAATTATGTGTTTAGGTTGATTGCTTTAAAGTACATAGAGCTGTGGATCCTGGCAACCAACGGACTAATTGGTTGATCCGTGGCAACGGTGTTGCCACCACAATTGTAAATAGTTCAAGGCCACAAACCTTCTCTTCTTAGCAATACAATCAAGCAAGCTTCTCAACGTACGATTCATCAGACCTGGACTATTGACAATACAATAGTTCTGGGCCACGAATCAATTGTTGACAAGCCAGCCGCAATCACAGAGCTTCATGCGCGCCTATTATATATGTAATGTAATGTAATTCATTTAACCGCGTGCGGATCCCCTTTTGCAACGCCCCTCCATTTATAATACGATTCGCACTAAAACTTGACCTTTTCATACTTAAATAATTTTATCGATATTAAAGCTATTTAATTAAGATAAATATAAGATATAAATAAATGGCATATACATTTAATAATATATTTTAAAAAAACTTATAAAATTTTATTACGTTATAATTATAATAAAAAGAAAAAAGTATTAATAATATATCGCTTTATATATAAAATTAAGTATAAATTTAAGTATTTTTTATAATAATTATATCTTTTTAAAGATTTATTTAATTTTAAATTTATATAAATAAATTTATTTAATAAAATTATAATTAACTTTTATAAATATTTTATAACTTTTATTTATTTAATTTTTAAAATATTATAAAAAAAAGTTATTTTATAATAATTTTTATATA